GAGCTCTCAGCTGCAGCTGCACCTGCAAAAGAAAGGCGCTAGTATACCTTCAAAGAAGAAAGAAACTCGTCTGCCGCTGTCGAGGAAATGAGCGTTGGTCAGGCGGGCCTGATTCGTGGAGAGAAGGGAAAACGCGTGAAGGGTGAGGGTGAGAAGGAGAGAAGAGAGCCGTAGAAACGAGAGGCGCGGTGCGACAGAGAGCATTATGAGCATAAAAGACAACGGAAAAGAACAAACACGAGTGTGCTAAACGCCATCCCCATCCCCACCTGATCGCGCGTGCTAAAGACGTTGACTGTGTTAGGGTCGAAATCCTCTAACAGCTCGTCGATTCGCCGCATCATGCTCGAGCAATCATCCGAAGACAAAAAATCCTCAAGCACCAAATAGCCTGCTCGGTTTAGACAAACAAGCACAAGATTAGCGCGTTAAACAGAATTGCTTCCCGTGTTCAGCGATGTGAAAGCTTAGAATTTTCCGACAAAGGAACAAAAGAGAACTCGTTTTCTTCGTCCTCTCTCTCCTTCAGGGAAATAGAACCCTAAGCAACGTAGTAATAAGATGCAGTGTGCAGGGATAATGACAGCGCCAACAAACACGTGCATGAAACACAACGGACGTGAAAGCGTCGCCTTGCCTTGATCAGTATACTGCTGCTTCTGCTCCTCAGTCAGCCCTTCCGCGTGGTCCGCCATGGTTTGATGGAAGCACTACCGCAGCGCTAGTTGCACTGTATTGCACAGTTACAGCTGCTTGCTGGTCGCAGTAAAGCGCCGAGGTGTGGATGGATGGATGCCTGACAGAGAAGCTAGTCCTCCAACGGACCGCGAATTCTAAAACTGCAGCACGAGACAAGCAGGAGGGGTGAAGCCTGAAGGACATAAGCACAAGCAAACAACACTCGCACTCTGAACTTGAGGAGCCTGAGGGCGTATTTTCAAAACGGCGTTTTCAAGGTTCAAAGAAAAACGGTTTGTCGGACCTGTGTTTTGCGGTGGATTATCTCACCCGGTTTGTGGGAAGGTGTGCGTTTCCGAGTCTTAACTGAATGTGTTTCGCCATGGGACTTGGGATCATGTAGGGGTCAGTTGTGCATTGGTGTACAGCAGGTTACGAGAATGTGACGTGGCTGTATCGCATCTGAAGTGTACGAGGTTTTCCTTACCGATGAAGCATGATACTTCACTGTGGCCTCCGGCTGTTTCAGCACATTACATTACAAATATTGGAATGTCAAAACAGAAACGCCCAAACAACACTCCCTAACCCAAGCTCCTGAACACATCAAAACATGTCCTTTATGAAGCAGGGAACTGCTTTCTAACTCCATTGCTTGCATACTCGCTACCTTTTTGTGGAACCCTGTCCCCGTTTCCGTCAAAGAACCGGCCACCTTTGACAATCTGTGGCACTCCTGTGACAACTCGAATGAACGCATCTATAGGAGACATGTACTCGACGTTCTCATTTGGCGCCGTGACCCCACGAATGAGAGGAAAAATGGCAGCAGCAACAGTCTCTGGTTCCTCTGGAGAACAGGGATTGCAATAGAAGCGGAATGACAGAGTTTTGAGAGTGACAAAAGGGGAATGACAAGGATGGCAAAGAGATGCAGATGTCGAGGAAAAGTTGGCAGAAAAAGTGGAGCCATGTTGCACATTCGATGATCAAAGGCAACTGCAAACGAAATAAGGGATCCAGCTGCATCGAAGACACCAATCCCAATGGAACGCATATGCCATCCACATCGTTGGATCCTTGCTCACCTGCGAGTGCATTGAAGAAGCGGTGTGCAATGGACGTGGAGTCCTTGAGCAGCAGATCCGTGAGCACCATGCCTGGCGACAGGTTGTGCACCGCTATGCTTGTCAGGCCTGGTGGGTGGGAACATGGCGCACAGATGTAGGAATGATGTGGCACTTATATGAGTGTGATGTAACTGCAATGGATGCACTTAGACATGAGCAGGGACTCATGCAGAGAGGCTATCAAATAAGAGAAATGCAGTGCAGACACGTGTGCAGAGAGACACATGCGGAGAACACGCACACACACACTTGCAGCGACGCAAAGCAGGCGCACAGATACATGCAGCGGCACCCTACCTGCCTGCTTGAGCTCGTCATTGAGGCTGGTGGTGAGCTGCGAGAGAGCCATCTTGGTTTGAGACGTCTCAAAACAGACACATGCAGTGACAGCCTACCTGCCTGCTTGAGCTCGTCATTGAGGCTGGTGGTGAGCTGCGAGAGAGCCATCTTGGTGGCCTTGTGCGTGGCAGCAGAGCGCGTGAACGCCGCTCCCCACCGGGAGAACCCCAGGTTGAAGACGTGGTACCGAGGCGTGGCAGAGGACTGGGTTCCGTCAGCTTGTTGCCGCATCACTCGGATGGCCTCTCTGCAGAGGAGGTTGAGAACAGTAGGGATGGGGGGACAGAGTGAGACGAATGGTTTGGTGAAATGGCTGATGCTGGCTTGCAAGCACACCCGGCTTGCACACCAGACATTCGTGCTGCAAAGGAATGCTCCAAAAGTGGCACACATTTGAGAGCTTACCGGCAGCCGAGGAGGGACCCGAGCACATTGGTGCTGACAGCCGAGGCAATGTCCGATGGAGCCACGTCTGCTAGCAGCGACTTGGACGTCACCTGGCCTGAGCACGTGCACGGAGGATAGGAGGGCGTGCAAGGGGAGTGGAACTTGAAGGCGGGGTCACAGGGAAGAAAGGCTGGGAAGATGGGAGGGCCACGGAGAATGGAACTTGGAGCGAGGATCCACACGAAGGACAGGTTGGAAGATGGAGAAAGGTTGGGGGTTGGGAGGATAGGAGAGGAGTTGGGGGTTTCCATGAAGGGTAGGAGGGGTGTGACATGCATCTTCGTCCTTGGTAAAGCTCGCGCTCTCCATCTCAAGGTTGATTCGATATCAGCGCTCTCTTTTACTTGGCCAGAAAGTACACTATGCTGCATCTACATGCTAGTCAATGTTAGTCAATGCAAGTCTCCGCTTGCCTGCATTGTTGATCCAGATATCAACGCCTCCCATTTGCTCCACCGCGAATTCCGCCAGGCTCGCCAGATCCTCCGCATTCGCCACGTCACAACGGATCCCCCACACGCGCGCACTCGGCGACTCGTCTTCCTTGGCCGCATTTTTGAGAGCATCAACCGCTGCAGCCAGGCGATCGTCGTCTCGACCGCAGATGACCACCGCGTCGCCCTTCGATAGAAACACTTCCGCCATTGCGTAGCCCAGCCCCTTGCTTCCCCCCGTTATAACCACTCGTTTATTCCCTCTCTGCGAATCTCCTGACGCTTTCGCTGAGTCGGAAGTGCTTGCAGCGGCATGAGCTTTCACGAGGAGGCCACGCGATATTGATCCCTGGTGCGCTGCATTTACGTCATTTTGCGGAACTAAGCCATTTATATGTTGTCGAAGTTCTATGTTTTGACGGCGGGAGAAAAGCAGAGAGGAAGAAGAATGCAGCGAAGAGTGTGGGTGCGGAGCTGACGGGATTATTGCGGTGTTGCGAAAGGGCGAAAGCCGTACGGACACTGACGGAGCCGAGGTCGCAATGCGGCTGCCGAATGCGAGGGCCGCCATGGCTGTTGTGCAGTCAGTAGTAGCACTGAGCAAGTGAATGGTGTCAGGGCCGATGTCTTGGGATTCCCGCAAAATACAGCAGGGCTTCCTTGCTGAGGGTGTCAGGCTCGTTATTATAACGGGAGTTATGGTGAATAGGAACGATCTAGAAGTACACCGGGAATAATATGTCATGAGATATTTTTAAGTTATTTTCTAGCTGTGTGAGAGAGTTGAATGCCAATGACAAATACCATATATTAGTATAACACTTAAAATGCTAACAGTATTTTAAAATTATGATTATCATGTTATGATAACGATACATATGTGTCATATTGTGAGTCTTTTCATTTATCGCGTCAGGTAGACATCCATTTTATAAGAGTGTATCAACATATTTCATCACTGTAGTCGTATATCCCATCTGTGTTCTGCCCTTTCCACCTCGACCACCATCACCTTCAGCTGGTGTGCCAAGTCACGCGCAAGAGTGTCAGTTCCACATAAGCACAACCTCAAGCTGCGCTGGACTTAGTCGCTGCTGCGTTCGCGGAAGCCCAGCTCCAGCAAAGTGGTCCCTCGACTCAAGTTAGCGGCTCGAGAATCCACGATGCCATACCCCAAGGCACAATGTTGTGCTGAAGGAGCAGGCCCAGGTGGGACCAAAGGAGCCCCACCCAGCCAATCAGTGATCCTCCATGCGAACGGCATGGGCGACGACGAGAGCATCATGGAAACACCGCGCAGTGGGCATCAGCACGCAGCCACGTCAGACCGTAGAACAACACCCTTTGATAGTTCCGCGCGGTTGACATGGTGTTGCCGGTCTGTTGACATCAGCAGGCGGGCGGAAGGTATTTAGGCGGCTGGAATGGGGAAGGGGGGAGAAAGCCCCCCGTGTAGGGAGGCGCATGCGGGACGAGTCACTCGAGAGACGGAGAAGCGCCGCGCGGGAAAATTCAGAAGCGCGCGCATTTCCTCCTCCTCGCCATAGCGCTAAGGCACATTTCTGCGCGTTCTTGAAGCCGCACATCCTCTTGCGGATTCCGGATTCCGCCACATCATCAGTTCCCAGAGCTCCACCTCAGGCCCTGAGCCATGGCCATCGCTGCTCCCGCTGCTTCCGTTACCGTCGTGAGCTATTCAAGCTCTATAAATCATTCTTGCTCGCCAGTCGCTTCTATAGCCGTCAAGCCTTCCGCTCTCAGTTTCAGTTTCAGCTTGGCCTCTCCACTCCACTTCCCTACTCGTCGTCTTTCCAAGGCGATCCGTAGCACGAACCTCCCGTTCCGTTCGAACCGCCGTTTCTCCGAGCAATCTCGCATCGTTCCGGTTGCGGCTAGACTATCCGCCGGTGAAGAGGCCAGCATGGAGCATTACTCGTTCCCTGAGAGCATTCCGACGGTGAGGCAAGTGAAGATGCCCGCCGGCGTTCGCGTTCGCGGTGTGATGAAGCCTGCATACCAGGAAATTCTGACCCCAGGTACTACTCCTGCCATCCAGCAGTCGTCAGGAAAATCACATCTTTCGCCCATTTGATTGGATTTTCACCAGTTTATGAAGGTTGCCTCCCTTCGGTTGGAATAACGATTTCTCGGTTCTTGCAAGTTCGCCTGCTGGAATAACCACGACGAGATGCCTTTATGAATTGGGACAAAGAGTTCCCCCCGCTCATCTTTTGTTTCTTGCCTTTCCTCTGTCGCCTTGCAGAGGCTGTCGAGTTCGTTGTGGATCTGGTCCGCACGTTCCGCCCACGCGTCGACTACATCCTGCGCTGTCGAGGAGAGACCCAGGCGCACTACGACGCGGGGGAGCTCCCCACGTTCGCCGCGTGCTCCAAGGCCATCCGCGAGGGCGACTGGAAGTGCGCGCCCACTCCGCAGGTGCTGCTGGACCGCCGCGTGGAGATTACTGGGCCCGTGGAGCGCAAGATGGTGATTAACGCGCTCAACTCCGGCGCGAAGATGTTCATGGTGGGTGCTGCGGCTGTTCCTCCTCGTTTGGGAATGTTTTACGGGAGAGGTTTGTGATGCAAGAATGAGGTTACAAGACGCATTTCAGCTTGCCCTTGCGTATCAGATCACGAATTCGTTTCGTCTCTCTGTTCGTCACTTCTATCGCTCATTTCTCTCCTTATTCTTCGTTACCTTCACTGCTCGCAGACTGACTTTGAGGATTCGCTGGCGCCCACGTGGGAGCGGATCATGGACGGGCACGTGAACCTGCGGGATGCCGTGAACGGCACCATCTCGTACGAGGACAAGGCCCGCCGCAAGACGTACAAGCTCAACGACAAGACCGCCGTCATGCTCGTGCGCCCCCGCGGATGGCACCTCAAAGGTACGCCCGCTGGCCGTGTTATTGCATGACTGGCGGTCATGACCCTCGAATCAATCACTAACACTAGTAATAGTGGTCTGCTTGTCAAGGTATAGTTGTACCTGAGCTGTTTCATTTTGAATTCGCACCAATGCTGCAAGAATGGCCGCATGTAACGGGAAACGATTTTAATACCTGCCGGCTTCCTCAATCTTGACTGCCGTAATTACCATTTTCACCATGAGCGCTAGACAGGTCTACCAGACAGACCACTTGACTTGAATCTAATCTTCGCCTTTCTTTTCTCTATGTCGTCGTCGTCTCTCCGTCTCACCTCCATCACTCCGCAGAGGCGCATTTCGAGGTGGACGGGCAGCCTGTCCCCGGGTGCCTGATGGACTTCGGCCTCTATTATTTCCACAACCACGCCAAGTTCCGCGCCACGCACGGCGGCGCGGGGCCCTTCTTCTACCTCCCGAAGATGCAGCACTCGCGCGAGGCGGCGCTCTGGAACGCCGTCTTCGAGCACGCGCAGGACCGCGTGGGCGTGCCACGTGGCACGATCAAGGCGACGGTGCTGATCGAGACGCTGCCGGCCGTGTTTCAGATGCACGAGATTCTGTACGAGCTGCGGGAGCATTCCGCGGGGCTCAACTGCGGGCGCTGGGACTACATCTTTAGTTTCATCAAGACGTTCCGCGCGCACCCGGATCGCCTGCTGCCGGACCGCCATCAGGTGGGGATGACGCAGCATTTCCTGAAGAGCTACACGGAGCTGCTGATCCAGACGTGCCACAAGCGCGGCGTGCACGCGATGGGCGGCATGGCGGCGCAGATCCCGATTAAAGACGACCCTGCGGCGAACGCGGCGGCGTTCGCGAAGGTTAAGGCGGATAAGCAGCGCGAGGTGGACGCGGGACACGACGGCACGTGGGCGGCACACCCCGGGCTCGTGCCGCTCGTGCTGGACGTGTTCAACGCGGGCATGCCACGTGCCAACCAGATGAACCGCGCGCGCGACGACGTCCACGTCACCGCGGAGGACCTAATCGCGATGCCCAAGGGGACTAAGTCGCTGGACGGTCTGCGAGTTAATACGCGCGTCGGGATCCAGTATATCGAGGCGTGGATGACGGGATCCGGATCCGTGCCGCTGTACCATCTCATGGAGGACGCAGCAACGGCTGAAATCAGCCGCGTGCAGAACTGGCAGTGGCTGCGGTACGGAGCGGTGCTGGACGGTGAGCTGGTGCCCGTGAAAGTTACCAAGGAATTGTTCAGCCAGGTGGTTCAGGAGGAGCTGCAGCGCATTCAGCAGGAAGTGGGGCCCAAGAGATTCGCCTCGGGCAGGTTCCAGGAAGCTGCGGCGCTGTTTGCAAGCCAGTGCCTGGCGCCGACCCTGGGTGATTTCCTGACCCTGGACGCGTATCCTTACATCACTCAGTTTGTGCCCGAGTCACGGCTGTAGAAGGGTCTGTTGGAGCTCGGGAGTCGGGACCCCTGGGTGATTTCCTGACCCTGGACGCTTATCCTTACATCACGCAGTTTGTGCCCGAGGCAAGGCTGTAGAAGAGCGTGCCTGGTTGTTCAAATCCCGGTGGGTGGTGCTCGTGACGTGCCCCTCTGCTGCTCACACGGTTTCTGCTCCCTCCGCCATCTGCGCTACTACAGCCTACAGCCTCTGCTGCTCTGCCCCAGCCTCTGTTCATTGTGCATGGCCCATGTCGTACCCTGTACATATGGGGTTGCATAGTACCGGTACCTCTTCCATACTATCATGACGTGATGCCACATTCCCAACTGCTTTCACCATCGCTGCCTATACCCTATGCTGGTTGCTTTTGTAGCTAGGTGTGCTGTGTTTGCTGCTGTGTTCTCTCTGGTTTCTCATCCTTTCCGTGAGCTTTCGTCTGTCCTAGCTTGTACACTGTACATGGTAATGGAGTGATTAAATTGCAACTCGGACGTCATCTCCTACTCCCCTTGCTCTATCTCTTCTATAGTGCCATAATACAGAACTACGGTACTCGATAGGAGTGGGCACCTCTGTGAACGTTGCAATAATACAAGTAGATTAGACACCTCTATACGCGAAATGAACACCTTAGTTCATAGAGTGCATGCCCCAAACTGAGTGCAACCCTCAATAAGAGTTATTATACAAGCCAAGGCTCTTCTTCTCCCTCTCCTGCGTTCTCCTGCTTCCTCCTCACTCATCTTCCTCCCCCGCTTCCTCGCATTCGGATCACACGCAACCGACGAAGCCACCCCTTTCACCACTGCCTTCCCTCCCACAGCTTTCCTGGCGCCTGCCCGAACGGGGCCTGGGGCAGGCCCGCCTGCTCCGGCGGGATTTTTTCGGGCAGGTGTGGTGCCGGCGGTGGTGGGTTGTTGGGAGGGAGTGGCGGCTGAGGAGGGCTTCCTGGGGGAAGCTGCTGAGAGGGTGGATACCTCCTGATGGCTGCACCAGCGCGCTGTATGACAGAACGGGTTGAAAAGGGCAAGGGGAAATGGGGAGCAGGCTTGATTGTGGAGGGAAGACACAGAAGAGGACCTTTCTGGGGGAGGCTGCTGAGAGGGTTGATACCTCCTGATGGCTGCACCAGCGGGCTATGTGACAGGAATGGGAGGGGGGGGAAGAGGGGGACGGGGAGGGGGGAGGGGGAGGGGGAGAGTGAGGATAAAGTGGAAAGGGCTTTCTGGGGGAGGCTGCTGAGAGGGTGGATACCTCCTGATGGCTGCACCAGCGAGCTGTGTGACGGGAAACGGGGAGAGGGGAGAGGGGGAGAAAATGATGTGAGGTGAGGGGAATGTGGTGATGGGGAAGGAGGGGGACAGGGTGGGTCAGGTATAATGGGGCAAGGCATGGCATGGCATGGCAGCACATGGGATGACACATGGCATGGCAGCACATGGCATGACACACGGCATGACACATGGCATGTCACGGCAGGGCAGCACGCACCAATGGAATCTGAAAAGTAGAGCCCTGACTTGGAGTCATAGAAGTACCCAGAGCGGTGGCTGTAGTGGTATCCGCTGCTCTCCTCCAATACCCACTCTGATGGATGGAGCAGTGATGCGAGAAAAGAGAGCGGGTGAAGGGGGAGTGGAGTGAGTGGAGAGGGGAGCGCTGACTTGGGAGTCATAGAAGTAAGTAACCAGAGCAGTGGCTGTAGTGGTATCCACTGCTCTCCTCCAATACCCACTCTGATCGGGCAGTGCAGCGAGGGAGGAGGTTGAGAGATAAGGGAAGGTTGAGAGGAGGAGGAGGAGATTAAATGTGGGGAAGGAAGGGAGTCGAAAAGAAAGGAGCGTGAGGGAGAGATGGTGCGGGAGGGGGGAAAAGAAAGGAGATTCGAGGATGTCACGATATAGACGTCAGTATTTTTTAGCACACGTCCTGATCGGGATAAGTAAACGCAAAAATATAACCATTAGGAAAGGAATGGACATCACTTATTGCGACAAACATACCATCAGCGGAAACATTTTTCGACTGGGGGGGAGGCGGTGGACGGGGTATGGTCGGTTCCCCTGCCGATTCCCCACCACCGGCAGCAGCAGCGGAAGCGGCGTCGACAGCAGCAACGGCAGCAGCCACTGCCTCTCTGTGCTGCTGCAGCTCCGATCCCTTCTGCTGCTGGTGCTGCTGCCGCCTCTGCTCTGCTACGTCCTTCTCATAGTGCCGCTTGGCTGCCTGCATGCATGAGGTAAGGAGACGTGGACAGGGAGAGAGATGGAGGGGAAAGAGCGAACACCGCACAGGCTTGAAGGGAGGACAGTAGAGCGAATAGTGTGGCTAAGAGCGAACACCCCTTCTCTCCTCTCTTTCGCTCTCGCTCCCTCACTACCTCTGCTTCGTTGTGTTTTTGAGAATTCTCAAAAACACCCTGCCTCACTACCTCTGCTTCGCCACGTGCTTCTCGTACTGTCGCTTAGCTTCCTGCATGCATGCACACACGGGAAGGAGGGAGAGAGGGAGGGCGAGTGGGAGAGTGAGGGAGCGAGAGCGAAAGAGAGGAGAGAAGGGGAGGACGAGCACACAGGCTTTGAGGGACGGGCAGAAGGTCAGTCAAGCTTAGTACTAAGGCGCCGCACTAAGCCTCTGAGGGACGAGCTCACCGCCTTAATCCGCCCTGCCGAGTCCCCTCAGTGCCACACTAAGCCCTCTGCGCCTCTGATCCGCCCGTTACGTTCTCCAACCCACATGGCAGCCCAACCCCCCTCGTCCTCTCCCCCCCCCCCCACTCCCCACACCCCTCAACACACACCCCTCACCTCCTCTATCGCCGCAATCGCCCTCTCAGCCTCCTCCTTCTCGCGCTCCTTCTGCTTGCCCTCGCGGCGGATGGCGCTGAGCTTGGCGGCGACGGCCTCCTTGTGTTTGGTGCCGCCCTCGTGCATGCGGATGGACGCCGCGTTGTTGGCCAGGAAGATGCGGCAGTACTCGCACCAGTGCTGCCCCTGACTCACCCAGTACTGGCGGACGGGGGAGGGGTGGGGGGAAGAAGGGAAGGGAGTCCTGTGTGTGGGGGGGAAGGGATAAAAGGGGAAGATGCGGCAGTACTCGCACCAGTGCTGCCCCTGACTCACCCAGTACTGGCGAGGAGTTTTGGTGGGGGGTGGGGGGGAAGGGGGTGAGCGGCTCCTGAAAAGAAGCTTCCAACTTCGGTTGAATTTGTCGGGTTTCGATGAGCAGGGCACAAGGCATGCAGGTAAGGGGGAGCGCTGCGGGTCCGTCTCTTCTCTATCGTACGTCAAACTCCCGCGAGCCACTCGAAATGGTAACCCTAGAACGCATGCCACTTGAAAACGGTAACCCTAAACCGCATGCCACCTGAAACGGGTAACACTAGAACGCATGCCACTTGAAACGAGTAACCCTAAAACGCAGATGAAGAAGTTCACGTGGAGTACCCAGCTCCCTTACCTCCGTCATCGTAGCAGACTTGATTCGATATAAGAACCTAGCCGGTACTGGCGGAATGCTACCCCGCAACTCCCTCTCCTCCCGTCACTCCCGATATTCCAGCTAATTGCGCTGCTACCCGCAAATCCCGCTACTCCCGCTCCTCGCTCTCCTCTCGCTGCTCCTGTTCCTCCCCTGGCTTCCGCTACTCGCGCTATTCCCGCTGCTCCCGCTGCTCCCGCTTCTCTTGCTGCTTCGATAAGGACGACGTTTCGCGAGGGAACAGGAAGAATTTTGTTGCTGAGCTCGGATTGAAACGGAAATAAAACAGCCGGCTAAGTTCAGCGGCTGATGGAAAAAGTAGCAGCTTCAATCGCGGATGGAGAAATATGCAAGCCGTGTACTCGCTAAAACTGAATCTGTTTAAGAGCAATCGTTCGTTCGCTTTAGAGCCGGGTACGTGTTTACGTATGCCAGTTGATTATGAAGCACAAAATCAGCTTGTAGTTCTCAACGATTGCCAGAAATGCTCTATTTGTTCATGTTGCAAAACCATTTGTATGAATCTACTCAGAATAATAATAAGAAAATATAGAACATTCGATTTGTTCAAGGACTGGCAAGGCCTCTAAGGCCAAGACCATCCCTCTACATCTTAACAAGCTAAAGCAATAATTATTACCTAAGAGTTGAGCAACCGTGCACAGCGCGCACGGTTCTAACTGAAACGGAAAATCAGCCGTTCAGCCCCTAGTTTCTAGCACAAAGCAGCCAGCAAATAATTAGCAACTGCAACAAAAAAGGCGAGTCAAGGCAAGCAGGGAAATGAAACGCCTAAAGGGGAAACGGGGAGGAAAACGGAACAAGTTGCAGGGGAAGTGAAGCAAGGTGCAAAACTTGCAGTCTTGCATTGCACCCCATAGACCTCCCCTCCCCCCCCCCCCCCCCCTCCCACACACACACAAAGCACACACACACACAGAGCACAAGTCTTTGCACATGACAGCAGCAGTCACATGACACGTAAGTCACACACCCATAATTTCATCACACAGGAGATCTCATCATCACACGAGGAATCAGCCACTGCAAATCCCCTGCAGCTTCACTGCTCCTTCCCTGAAACTCCCCTGCAGCTTCACTGCTCCTTCCCTGAAACTTCCCTGCAGCTTCTTCACTGCCCCAGCAACGAGCCCACTCCAGCGTTCGCCTGCACGAGGTCCGGAAGGTTCCGGAAGCTAGCCGGCAGCGACCGCAGCGCAGGGCACACGAGACGGAGGTTCCGTAGCGATCGCAGGTTACCAAACGTGTCTGGTAACTGTGTAATCACATCACTCTCAAGCTCTAAGCTCTGGAGAGAAACTAGATTGCCCACTGATACGGGCAGCCAGGAAAGTTCCTTGCACTGCGCCTCCCACCGGGAAAGATTTTTCAGCTTCCCGAAAGAGACGGGCAGCGTGGAAAGGTTTGAGCAGTGGACGAGGGTGAGCGAGTGCAGAGAGGAGAGGTTCCCGAAGGAATCGGGCAGCGACGCAAGTTTTTGGCAGACCAGGGTAAGGGACTCAAGCGTGCGAATCTCCCCAAAAGACTCGGGCAGCGCGTAAACTTCCCGGCTGTCCAACACGAGCCTCTGCAGGGAGTTCAGCTCGCCGAAATTCTTGGGCAGCGGCCCGGAAAATTGCAACTGGAGGTCGAGAAGGTTGCCTAGAAGGACAAAGGAGGAGGGGAGGGAGCGAACGTAGGGGCAGACCAACCGGAGCTCTTTTAGCTCGTAAAGCCAGCCGATAGGAGCAGGGAGGAAGGTGTTGGTAAGGGAACGGGGGGTATCGGATTCGATCGCAAGGGAGTGGAGGGAGTTGAGATTCCCGATCTCTTCAGGGACGCGGTCGCAGGGCATGGAGAGGGTTCGGAGGTTGTGGAGAGTCCACAGGGAGGCGGGCAGCTTGGGGTTTGACCGGCACCCGTCGAGCCTCAGCTCGCGGAGATTCGTGAGCTGCCCGAGCTCCGCGGGCAGCAGCTCCAAAACTTCGCTGAGCAGCATGAGGGTCTCGAGGCGGCGCAGGCGGCCTATGGAGGAGGGAACCACGCGGAACGACCCTCTCACGTCGAGATAGACCAGCCTGTCTAGCTCGCCTAGAGCCTCGGGAAGCACGCGCAAGTGCCCCTTCGCTCCCCAGAGCTCTAACTTCGTGAGAGAGGTCAAGTGCTGCAGATCGTCGGAGGCGGTCCAGACGTTTTTGAGTGTGAGGTGGGTGATGTCGGAGAAAGCGATTATGGACGGCGGGATGGATGAGCCGTAGAGCTCCATTTCCCGCGTGCGCCTGGTCTCCCAGACTAGCTCGCGGAGGAACGGGAGGGAGCCGGCAGAGGGAGGGAGGTCGACTAAGTCGGAGCAGCGGAGATCGAGAGAGCAGAGGCTGCGAAGGTCGCCGATGCAGTTGGGGAGGAAAGCAAGGCCTTTCCAGCCAATGAGGCGGAGAGTTTGGAGGTTGGTGAGGGACCAGAGGGAGGGCGGGAGGGATGCGGGGTAGTGGAAGGCGAGTTCGAGGGAGTGGAGAGCGGTTAGGTTGGATACGGAGTCGGGGAGGCGCACGTGGTGCTGACCGTTGTGGAAGTTGAGGGAGAGGGACTGGAGCTTGGACAGGTCTCCTAGGGATTCTGGGATATAGGAGATATCCCAGTCACCTTCTGCTGCTGCTGCTGCTGCGGTTGCTGCTGTGGTGGCGGCGGCTGCTGAGACTGCTGATGCTACTGTTGCTGATGAGGGTCCTGCTGATGCCAAAGCAGAAGGCGCAGCTCCTGCTGGGGCTGACGCTGCTGTTGCTGTTGCTGCTGCTAGAGTTGCTGCTGGGGTTGATGGGGATACAGCCGCTGCAGGGGTTAGAGATCTACCACCAGGAGACTTCTCTGCTCCCATGCTCATGCCTCCAGGGCCCACCCCACTCACTCCCCCACCGCCACCAGCAACACCACCACCAGCAACACTACCAGTGCTACCACTGCTGCTGCTCGCGCCACTCCTCCGCGCATGCTGCCTCCTGAACGCCTCAATCCTAACCTCCACGAGATTCGTGCACCCCGAGAACAGCATCGCCAGCCCGCTCTCTTGAAACGTCGATCCTAGCTCTGAATCCGCACCGATCGATAGCCTCCTCAGATCCGGACACGAATACCCAATCGTGCACAGCAGGTCGTTCCCTACCGGTTGATCTAAGCACATCCCAGGAATGTCTAAGCAAGTGAGGTTCGGGCAGTGCGCGAGGGCTCGGATTAACCCTTCGAGGGTGACTCTCCTGCCTCGCACCAGCCGGAGGGATCGGAGCCCGTGGTAGGCGACTGCTCGCCAGGACTTGCAGACGAGGGAGAATGAGAGCCAGTCGCGGGGAGAGTCGAGGGAGGCGAGGATGGCGGTGAGGAGCGAGCGGTCGAGCGCGGAGTAGCCCTGGGAGCGCTGCTGCTGGTGCTCCAGGACTTGCGCGGAGTGGAGGAGCGACGCCGGGGAGAAGGAGCCGTAGTACGGGACTGTTGCTGCAACGGGGTGATGTGGGCAGGTGGGTGGGTGGGTGGGTTTGTGAGGAAACGGGAGTGGGAAGGGAGTGGGGAAAGGATGGGAGGAATAGGAGGTGTGTGGTTAGCAGCAAGAAGAGGGGAACATGCACCTGCCCAATTTTGACATGACTTGAGAGAGGTGGCTTTCGGTAATGCGGTGACAAAAGTGAGCGGAGGTGGAAGGGACAAGTAGAAAAGAAAGAGTGAGCCTGAAACTGAGACGGCTTTGAAAGGCAAGGATCAACGGCTCATCAAAGGTGGACAATGTTTGAGTCGACTCAAAAGACGATTTTTCAGTCGACTCAAAAGACGGCTTTAAAGGCAAGGAAGGATCAACGGCTACTCCAGGGTCGACAAAGCTGCAGCTACAGAGCAAAGCGATAAGCGATCAGCTAGCTGTAAGCCATTGCATTGCAACCACAAATAAACGTCCATCCATATTCATCCATCTCCATCCAATCATTCGCCCATCCCTCATCTTACTCTTCTGTTGGGGCGAAGGGAAGAGCTGTCGCCGTGTGCTTGCGACCGCCTCCTTACTGCTGCTCCTCTTGCGCCCCGACACTGTCCCCTGCATCTCTGATTCCCCCACCCCACTCCCACCTGCACCTCCCATGCCTTTGCCTGCTCTGCCCGATTTTCTCTCTTGGTTCGATCCCGCTGCTCGGCCCGCTCGCTCCACCGCCTGTCCCGCAAACACTAGCTGCTTCCCCGTCTCCGCCTCCCCAATCTCTTCTAGATTCAAGTCCACGAAAGAATCAGGGCCCTCTGCAAGCAACGCTCCTCCTGCTGCTGCTCCAGGGGATGTATCAGCAGCAGCGTTGCGGCCGTTGCTGCTGCCGGTGCCAGGGCTGTTATGGAGCATACCGTCCTCCCCTGCATAGTACCCCTGCACCTGCACGGGTCCCATGGGTAGAGAGTCAAAGATAGCCGAGTCCCCACGAGTCATGCTTCTTAATCCTGCTGCTCCTGCTCCTGCTCCTGCTCCTGCCCCTGCTGCTGCTGCTGCTGCTGCTGCTCCTGCTGCAGATGACGAGGCAGCAGTGGAAGAAGCAGCGGGAGAGGCAGCAGGAACAGAGGCAGCAGGAGAGTCTGCACTGGTGCTTGGTCCGGCAAGCAGCGAGCTAGCTTTCAGCACACTGACAGCAGTGGGTAGCATGTTACCACAAAGCTGCTGCACCTGCTGCCCCTGCTGCTGCTGGTTCTGGTTCTTTCCTCTGTGTTCTACCACCCTCCCTGCCGCTTCTCCTCCTCCTCCTCCTCCTGCCGCTGTTGCTCCTGTTGCTTTCGCATTCAATTCTGCAGACACAGAAGGAGACACCGAGCCTGCCTTCACCTGCTGCCGTCTAAGTCTACCCAATGAGCTCTGTTCCACAGCCTCTGCCCCTGCAGCCGCCGCCGCTGCCGCCGCAGCGGCTGCAGCAGAAGCAACAGAAGTGCCAGGTGTTCTCGCTGCTGCTTCCACTGCCGCTGCTGCTGCCGCTGCCGCTGCTGTCACCACAGCAGCAGCCAGGTCAGCATGAATCAGCCTACCCCGCCTAGCCAACCCTTTCCGTAAAGCTGCCTCAATAATGCTGTTCCTACTACTGCCACTGCGAGCAATACCACCACCACCACTGGAGCTAACACGATCGTTCTCTATAGAATCAGCTTCAGTACTAGCACCTCCTGCCGCTGCCTTTCTCCCCTTGCCTTTCTTTCCACCGGCCGAAGCCACAGCCTCGTCCCCTTCCCTCCTGTTCCTCCCCATCCCATCCGTTCGCCCCTGCAGCCTTGCTTCAGCGCTCTTGGCCCCTTTCCCTGCCCCCTTCCCTTTCCGCTTGGTCTGAGTACTCGCAGTATCCTGAGCTGAATGATCCATGGGGGGGGTGGCGAGGGTGGAAAAGGAGGGGGCGACAGCAGGCCATTGGAAGGGCGAACCCACAGAAGCAGCAGCGGCAGCAGCAGCAACACCAACAGCAGCACCTGCACCGGAACCAGCAGCGGCAGTAGGACCAGATGCTTTTCCCCCTCCCCCAGCAATACTGTCTGCTGCCTCTGCTGCTTCAAGCATGCGAGTCTCTTCGTCCTCCCAGGGGTCATATGCACTCAGCCTTGGCGTCGCACCCTCGTGTATGGACACCCTCTCACTGCCTACTCCTCTGTTCCTTCTTGCCTGCGCCCCTGCTTCGCCCCCTTCTCCTGCTGCTCCTGCGGCCGCCGCTGCTGCTGCTGCTGCGGCTGATGACTGCTTTTTCTTGGTGGAGAGAGGAGCAAGCGCGCTTGACTTGAGGGCATCTAGCTCTTCTAGGGACTTGATTGCTGTAGGCTGTTGCTGCTGCTGCTGCTGCTCTTCTGTTTGCCCCTTGGAGCCTCCTCCTTTCTTGCTCGTCTTTCCCTTGCTGCTGCTCTTTTTCTTCCCTGCCTTCTTACCAGCCGCCTTCTGCTGCCCTGTACCTGACCCACCAGAACCCTCCCCCCCACCACCACCACCACCACCACCACCACCAGCAGTAACACCAGCATCAGAACCAGCACCAGGACCCCTCGTCTGCCCTTGTCCCTGCCCCTGCTGCTGCCCCTGCCCCTGCTGCCCTTGCTGCTGCTGCTGCTGCTGCTGCAGCTGCTGTTGATCGCCTGTGCCTGCTCCCAACTGCCCTGCTCCCTGCTGGTTCTTCCTCAAACCCTTCCTCTGCTGCGGCCTCCTCTTCCCTCCCTTTTGACCCTCGGGCGCAGGAGGAGGGGGTTGAGGCGTGATCTGAGCCCTCTGCTGCTGCTGCTGCTGCTGCTGCTGCATGGGTGACCCTGATGCCTGCACCTGTTGCTGCTGCTGGGAGAGGGGGGACGGGGAGCTAGCAGCCTTCTGAGCCTGCAGCAGCTGCTGCTGCGCCTGCTGCTGCTTCTGCTGCCTGGGAGACCGTTTCTTAGCGGGTGGGGACGGCTGCTGCGGCTGCACTGCCTGTAGAGGAGCCTGGGGTGCAACCCCTGCTCCCTGCTGCTGCCCCTGCTGCCCCTGTGGTTGCAGCATTGGCGCATGCACTAACAGCTGCTGGTTGCTGTCTGGCCGCGGGGAAAGCATGCCTAGCTGCATCATCATACCCCCCTGCCCCTGCTGCCCATGCTGGTAGAGAGAATCTGTGCCCACACCCATGCCTGCACCCATGCCTGCACCCATGCCCATCTGATGCATCAGATGCGCTGGCAGCTGCGGTCGAGGCGAGTACATCTGAGACGTTAGCTGCTGCTGCCACGCGTTCAGCTCATCCTGCCCTCCTTGCTGCTGCTGCTGCTGCTGCTGCTGCTGCTGCTGCTGCTGCTGCTGCTGCCCCTGCCCTTGCCCTTGCCCCTGCTGTGGTGGCAACTGGAAGTTATCTCCAGCCTCCATCTCATATCGCCCCATCGCCCCTGCCCGTCCCATGCCGATCGGGCTTCCAAACTCCCCATACTCCTCCCCATGGTCCTCCCCGTACCCTTGCCCGTACTCCTCTTCCTCCTCTCCCTCCTCCTCTCCCTCCTCCTCTCCCTCCTCCTCTCCTTCCTCCTCTCCTTCCCCCACCTCCCCTTCCTCCAACTCACTCTCTCCCACCCCACTCTCCTCCAACTGCCGCCCGTCAAACTCTCCTGCAGAAAACCCCCCCTCTTCCTCCCCCTCTTCCCCCTCCTCCTCCTCCTCGTCCTCTTCCTCCTCCAATGCATCCTCATCAACCTCGGGAACTGGTCCCAGCTCCCCTCCTATCAACCCTAACCCTAACCCTCCCCCAAACTCCCCATACTGCCCCGCAACCCCCACCCCTCCGCCCGTCGCTCCATAATCCCCCCCATACCCTCCCAAACCACCACCCCCGCCACCACCACCACCACCAGCAGCGGGTGAAGCTCCAAACGCGAAACCACCACCCCCCATGGGACTCCCCTCGCCTTCCCCTTCGCTCCCTCCACTCAGCCCCCCATCAGCCCCATCTCGTGAGTATCTAGACCCTCCGGATCGGCTCGATCGCACACTCGTGGTTCTGGTAACCATTTCAGGACTAGGAGAGTCATCCTCATCCTCTTCCTCCTCCTCCTCCTCTTCTTCAGGCACTACATACATCCCTCCTCCTCCCCCTGCTCCGCCTCCGCCCCCTCCCAACTGCCCGAACGCAAACTCCTCGTTCTGCTGCCCGTCTCGGCTGCCCGACAGCCTACGCCCATACCCCCCTCCTCCATCTCCCCCTCCCCCTCCTCCACCGCTCCCCCTAGGGGCTGCTGGTAACCCTTCTGCTCGCAGCGTGGGCATTTTCTCTGAGATATAAGCCTCCTCCGCAGAAGGATCGTCCGAATCCCCTTGCCCCATGCCCCCACCCTGCCCCTGCCTCTCCCGAAACGATCCCCTTTCCTGGAAGGACCCTCGCTCACTGAAAGAGCCTCTTTCCCGGAACGATCCCTGACCCGGGCGCTCTCGAAACGATCCCGGTCGCCCTCTTTCCCGAAACGACCCTCTTTCTTGCATCGACCCTCTTTCCCGCATAGATCCCCTTTCTTGAAAAGATCCCCTTTCTTTGAACGACCCTCTTTCTTGGAACGAACCCCGCTCCTGAACCGACCCGCCATGCATGCTGCTGCTCGCACTGCCCATCCCCTGCTGCTGCCACGGCTGTTCCTGCTCCTGCTGCTGCTGCTGCTGCTGCCACGGCTGCTGCTGCTGCTGCTGCTGTGGCGACAGCATGCCCTCATACCCCCCTCTGAACGACCTGCTGCTACTAGGCCTCTCACCGTGCCGACTCAGCGGCCGCTCATCCTCCCTCGACCCTCTCCTACTCAGCGGTCTCCCATTCTCATCATACCCTCCCTGCCGACTCACCGGCCGTCCATTCTCATCATAACCCCCCTGCCTACTCAACGGTCTCCCGTTCTCATCATACCCACCCTGCCGACTCAACGGTCTCCCATTCTCATCATAACCCCCCTGCCGGCTCTTCGGCCGCTCCAGCTCAATCCCCTGCCCCATCGCCCACCTCTCCCTCCCTGTATACCTGTCCATCTCCCCCCCGTACGACTTGCTCCCTGCCCTGTGCGCGCCGCCTCTCCCTCCCCCGCGCCCCCCCACTCCTCCTGCCGGGCTAGAAGCCCAGGGGGGGTTGGGGCGGCCGGAGAAGTCTACAGGGGAGTAGGCAGTGGGGGAGAGTCCAGGGCCAGAACCACCACCAGCATAATTATCACCACCAGCAGCAGCAGCACCAGGGAAGGGTCTGTTGTCCCGTTCGGTGAAAGACATTCGACTGCTGGAAGCCCGGTCGTCGAAGGATCGGGACGAGTCATGCCGAATCACGCGCCGCCCCGGCTGTCCCTGCCCCTGCCCCTGCCCCTGCCCCTGCCCCTGCCCCTGCTGCTGCTGTTGCAGGAACTGCTGGCGGGGGGACGGCGGGTGCATTGGCATGTGGGGACTGCGGGGGCTAGGAGGAAACATCCCGCCTCCTCTTCCCGACCCTCCTGATCCTCCTGACCCTCCTCCTCCTCCTCCTCCTCCTCCTCCTGCAATAGGGCTACCAAGAACCCCCATACCATACTGCTCCTGCTGCTGCCCCTGATTTCCATACGGGGACATGGGACTCATAGGCCCTAGCTCCGCATACCCCTGCCCCTGCCCATGCCCATACACCTGATGCTGCTCCTCAGACGCAAAACCCATGGTATTGCCTGCTCCCATGGGAGACGCGGGGGACAGGGGGGCCATGGGACTCATAGGCCCGAACCCTGGACCCATGCCCACATGCCCTCCTCCCATCATCCCCTGTCCAGACATAAACCCCCCCATGGGACTGAGCGGGCCTTGGCCCTCTCCTCCTTCCTCCCCCTCTCCTTCCCCCATCCCCTCCTGTTCTGTTATGTATTCACCATTCTCGTCCACGTAACCTTGCTGCTGCTCCTGCTCATGCTGCTGCTGATTCTGACCCTGTACAAAGTTACCGTTTTCATCCACATACCCCTCTCCTCCTTCCATATACTCCCCCTCATGCATCGGAACGAAGTTACCATGTTCGTCAACATACCCCTGCCCTCCTTCCACAAAGTTTCCATTCTCATCCACGTACCCTTGCCCTCCTTCCACGAAATTTCCATTTTCATCTACAAACCCTTGCCCTCCTTCCACGAAATTCCCATTTTCATCCACATACCCCTGCTGCCCCTGCTCCACATAATTCCCATCTGCATCCACATACCCCCCCTCCTCCTCTCCCCCATACTCCCCCTCCTCTCCTCCATACTCCTCCTCCTCTCCCCCCTCATAATCCGGCCGTTCGATGAAGCTCCCCTGACCATCACCAGACACATCCGGCCGTTCAATAAAGCTGCCCAGCGCATCTCCACCGTACGATTCCTGCTGCTCCACATCCGGCCGTTCAATGAAGCTACCCTGACCGTCCTCATACTGTTCCTGCCCGTCACTAAAACCCTGCCCATCACTAAAACCCTGTTCCTGACGATACCCCTCTCCTTCCTCCCCTTCATCCTCCTGCTCCTCCATCTGCTCCTCCCCCTCCTCATACACCACCTCTAAAGGTGTGCCTCTTCTCATCCCTCCCATCCCGTCACTCATGAACCCTCCCCCGTCGTCAAACCCTAATTCTCCTGCCGCATCATCTTGCAGATACTGCCCGTTCTCGTCCACATACTGCCCGGTTTCATCTATGTACTGCCCATTCTCGTCCACCAGCCGCCCGTTTTCATCCACAAACTGCCCATTCTCATTCACCAGATGCCCGTTTTCATCCACATACTGCCCATTCTCATTCACCAGCTGCCCGTTTTCATCCACATACTGCCCGTTCTCATTCACCAGCTGCCCGTTTTCATCCACATACTGCCCGTTCTCATTCACCAGCTGCCCGTTTTCATCCACATACTGCCCATTCTCATTCACCAGCTGCCCGTTTTCATCCACATACTGCCCATTCTCATTCACCAGCTGCCCGTTTTCATCCACGTACTGCCCATTCTCATTCACCAGCTGCCCATTTTCATCCACAAACTGCCCATTCTCATTCACCAGCTGCCCGTTTTCATCCACATACTGCCCATTCTCATTCACCAGATGCCCGTTTTCATCCACATACTGCCCGTTCTCATTCACCAGCTGCCCGTTTTCATCCACATACTGCCCATTCTCATTCACCAGATGCCCGTTTTCATCCACATACTGCCCGTTCTCATTCACCAGCTGACCGTTTTCATCCACATACTGCCCATTCTCATTCACCAGCTGCCCGTTTTCATCCACATACTGCCCATTCTCATTCACCAGCTGCCCATTGTCATCCACAAACTGCCCATTCTCATTCACCAGCTGCCCATTTTCATCCACAAACTGCCCATTCTCATTCACCAGCTGCCCGTTTTCATCCACGTACTGCCCATTCTCATTCACCAAATGCCCGTTCTCATCCACATACTGCCCATTCTCATTCAACAGCTGCCCGTTTTCATCCACATACTGCCCATTCTCATTCACCAAATGCCCGTTCTCATCCACATACTGCCCATTCTCATTCACCAGCTGCCCGTTTTCATCCACATACTGCCCATTCTCATTCACCAGCTGCCCATTTTCATCCACAAACTGCCCATTCTCATTCACCAGCTGCCCGTTTTCATCCACGTACTGCCCATTCTCATTCACCAAATGCCCGTTCTCATCCACATACTGCCCATTCTCATTCAACAGCTGCCCGTTTTCATCCACATACTGCCCATTCTCATTCAACAGCTGCCCGTTTTCATCCACATACTGCCCATTCTCATTCACCAGCTGCCCGTTTTCATCCACATACTGCCCATTCTCATTCACCAAATGGCCGTTCTCATCCACATACTGCCCATTCTCATTCACCAGCTGCCCGTTTTCATCCACATACTGCCCATTCTCATTCACCAGCTGCCCATTCTCGTCCACAAAATTCTCCTGCCCTTCCATATACTCCCCCGTTTCCCCTTCCACATACTCCCCCTCTCCCTCTAAATACTCCCCCTCCCCATGCATATGCCCCCCCTCTCCTTCCATATACTCCCCCTCATGCCTCCCTTCCCCTTCATTCCCCTCCCCTTCTCCACCGTACCCCTCCCCTTGCCCTTCATACCCCTCCCCCTCCCCCTCCCCATACTTCTGCGCCTCTCCCTGCCCTTCATACCCATCCTCGTTATAGACCTGCCCACCTGCTTCATCAGAGTAGAACCCTTCCTGCTCAGGATCCAGATCCTGCTGCTCTTGACTCAACTCGCCCATCTCTCCTTGCTCCAACTGCCCGTCCGATCGCTCACCGTATTGCTCCTCCTCCTCACCATACTGCCCCTCCTCGAATTGCCCCTCCTGGTACTGCTGCTCTCCATATTCCTGCTGCATCTCCTCCTCTTCCCCATCATACCTCTCCTGCTCCTCATCGTACCCCTCCCTTTCACCTTCCGCCCCACCTTCCCCTTGGTACTCTCCTTGGTACTCCTCTCCCTCCCCACCATACCCCAAGCCTGGACCATCCTCATCATACCCTTCCCCACCATCCTCTCTCTCACCCTCTTCCTCCCCCTCCTCCAACCGCCCCCCTTCTCCCCCATTCTCCTCCTCTTCCCCATCGTACTCCTCCGGTCCTCCTCCGTTGCTCCTTCCTGGAAACCCCCATCCCCTACCTCCACCACGCCCCCCTCCTCCCCTCTCGCCCATCCCCTCTTCCCCCTCTTCCCCCTCTTCCTCCTCCCCATACTCCTCCTCCCCCTCCCCTTCTTCCTCTATATCATGCTCCAGCACACTCCCCTCTCCCTCACTCCCAAAACCCCCTTCCTCCTCCCCATCCCCATCCCTATCCATATCACCTCCTTCCTCCCTCCCTTCACCTCCCTCCCTACCAAACCCTCCTCCCTCTCCGCCAGAAGCCTGTTGCAATCGCGCAAAAGCACCCATAAGCCCTCCTTCTCCCCCTCCCCCCCCCCCCCCTCCCCCTCCTGCCTCCCCCCCACCCCCATCACCCCCTCCGCCAAACCCTCCAAACCCCCCAAACCCGCCAAACCCCATCCCACCCCCCATACCCCCCTCTCCATCCTCCAAACCTTCTTGAAAACTCAACAACCGGTCCATTATACCAAACCCACCCACACCACCCCCCCTTCCCTCCTCACCTCCCTCCTCTTCCTCCGCCCCTCCTCCTCCTGCTGCTTCTGCTGCTGCGGCCGCGGCAGCAGCTGCCTCTAGCTCAGCCTGCTCCCTCGCCTCCTGTGCAAAGCTATCATCGTCACTCTCATCTTCCGCTGTTTCCATGAACTTCTTGCTCTCGCGCATCATAAGCTGCAGCGCGTTCGCAGGAACCGGGGTCGGAGGCAAATCCCCTTCCTCTTCCTCCTCCTCCTCCCCATCTCCATCCTCTTCCCCTTCCTCGTCCCCTTCCTCGTCCCCATCCTCTCCCCCCCTCTCCTCTCCCTTCCCCCCCCCCTGCCCCTGAAACTTCAATTGCAAAGGGAAACCCATGGGGCTGTTGAGAGCAGAAAGAGGGCTGCCTAAACCGCCAAAAGCAGGGCTACCTAGGCCGTTCCCCAGCATGGGGCTGCCTAGGCCACCACCGCCGTTGCCACCTATAGGACTCCCCATACCTCCAAACCCGCCCATCGGACTTCCCAACCCGCCCCCGCCCCCCTGCATCTGCTGCAGCTGATTCATCCTATCCATTAAACTCATCCCTGCTCCTTCTTCTCCCTCGTCCCCCTCCTCCTCCTCCTCCCCCTCCTCACCCTCCTCATCACCTCCCCTTTCTCTTGCGTCACCTTTGCCCCCCGATTGCCCCCCCTGCCCCTGTCCCAGTTTCCCGCCCAGCATCTGCCTGAAAGCTTTTTCCAAATCCCCAACAGAATCATCTATGCGCTGCCCGGGTTGCCCGATCAGCCCATCGATCCCATCCTGTAGCTCCAGCAGAGCAAACCCTCCTCCGCCTCCTCCTCCCCCTCCTCCTCCTCCACTCCCTTTCGAACCCACCTTACCACCACCACCACCACCCTTCTCTGCTCTCCCTTCCGCCGCTTCTGCTGCTGCAGCGGAGAAGGCAGAAGCAAGGGACCCTCCCGCTCCTCCCGCTCCTCCCGCTCCTCCCGCGCCTCCCGCCCCTCCTGCCCCTCCTCCGCCCTGCATGGCTCGAAAGGCTTTCTCCAGATCTCCAACCGAATAGTCCACAGGCTGCCCCTCCAACGCCAAGGGTACATCCTTCCCCATTGACAGCAGCGCAAACCCTCCCCCTCCCCCTCCTCCTCCCTCTCCCTCTCCCCCTCCCTCTCCCTCTCCCTCTCGCTCTTCCTCCTCTCCTCCCTCTCCCTCTCCTCCGCTTTCTCCTCCTTCCTCCCTCTCCTCCTCACCACCCGATCCTCTCCTTCCCTCCTCATACCCCTCCTCTCCTTCATACTCCATATACCTCTCTCCCTCCTCGCCCATCTCCCCTTCCTCCCCATACCCCTCCCCATACCCTTCCTCACCATACCCCCCTTCCTCGCCATACTCATCCTCCCCATACCCCTCCTCATCATCTTCATATAACACATCCCCATTCATTCCCCCATACTCCCCCTCCACCTCCCCATTCACTCTCCCCCCGTTCTTCCTCCCTCCCCTACCCAATGCAGGGTGCGCAAACTTACCCCAGCTCTTAGCAGCGGTATCCCTCTCTATCACAGATCCTGTCTCGTTCTCTCTCGTAGACCCGGAACCAGTGCTGGTTTTGTTTAAAGCCCGACCTGATTCCACTATCCGGCTCTCCACCACGCCTCTAGCCTGCTCATCCTCATCCAACCCTTCTTCACCGCTCTCAAACGAGACCACTGACCCCCCTCCTTCCTCTTCCCCATCCCCTTCCATTTCCCCTTCCCCCTCCCCGTCTCGATAACCCTCCTGCTCCCCTCGACCCGCCCTCCCATTCGCCCTTCTGCCCCGTGCCTCCTCCTCCTCCCCTCCCCTCTCCTCTCCCTCCTCGTCCTCCTCCCGATCCCCTTCCTCCCAGTCCCCTCCCCCGCCCTCATCACTCCCCTCCTGAATCGTCCCACCCTGTTCCAGCATGGAAGGAAGAACAAACTTTCCCTTAGACCTTGGAGCAGGTGTTTCCGCCTCTGCCTCTTCGTCCCCTTCTGGTATCCCCGAAAGGTGCTTCCTCAGTGCAAGGTCGTACGCGCCAAACTCATCCTCCTCGTCTATCTCATGCTCTATCCTCCCGTCAGCATCATCCTCATCCCCCTCGTCTTCCCCGTACATAGCAGCACCACCAGCACCACCTACAGCACCAGCAGCAGCACCAGAAACATCTACTCCTGCCGCTCCCACGGGATAGTGCCCCATCCCTCCCATACCCCCCATCCCGTCATGACCTTCCATCCCTTCCCCTCCCCCTTCCCCCACGTACCCTTCCTCCCCTTCCACCCACTCCACCTGCTCCCCATACTCGTTCACATATCCTCCCTCATGCCCACCATACCCCTCCTCCCCCATCATATACCCCTCCTCCCCATACTCCTCTCCCTCCATCCCTCCCTCAACATACCCCTGTCCGTTCCCAACGCCCCCCTGATCGTGGCCTTCGTATCCTCCTGCTCTGATACCATCATCATCATGGAAATCATGAGGCTCGTGGGGGACTCCACCGTACTCTTCACAGGTGCACACCTCGCCTTCATACACTGCCCCTTCTTCCCCCTCGTACCCCATCTCCCCTTGCCCTTGCGCGTACTGCACCCCTTGCTCATACTGCCCCTCTTGCTCGTACTGCCCATCTTCTGGATATTGCCCTTCCATATACTCCCCTTCCATATACTGCTCCTGCCCTTCGTATTGACCCTGCTCCCCGTATTGCTGCTGCTCGCCGTACTGTTGCTGATCGTCATACCCCTCCTCATACTGCCCTTCGTCAAAATCCCCCTGCTCGTGCTGCCCCTGCGCGTACACCACTCCCTCCTGCCCCTCCTGCTCATACCCACCCTCTTCCCCAACATACCCCTCCTCCCCTCCGTACCCCTCCTGACCCTCATACCCCTCCTCGCCCTCATACCCCTCCTGATGCCCCTCCGCATACTGCTCCTGATCGTCGTACTCTCCCTCATACTGCTGCTGCTGCTGCTGTAGAGGCACCATCCCTGCTGCTGCTGCTGCTGCTGCCGATCCTCTCCCCGGACTAGGCCCCTCTCTGTAGCCCCCTTGCGAGCCATGGGGAGACACGGTTACACCACCACCACCACCAGCAGCAGGGGCAGACCCAGGTCCCTGCGCATGGTACTGCCCCTGATGCTGTTGCTGCTGGGTTAACAGCTCCTCTTCGCCGATAGGGTTACCATATTCGTCGTACATCTCTCCTTCGCCAATAGGGTTACCATATTCGTCGTACTGCTGGTGACCTATCTCGTGCTCCATGTACTCTTCTCCCTCGTAACCCTCTTGACCTTCGTAACCCTCCTGTCCCTCATATCCCTCTTGTCCCTCGTATCCCTCCTGTCCCTCATATCTCTCCTGCCCTTCATATCCCCCCCCATATTCACCACCATCAGCCCCGTATTCCCCCCCTTCAATATACCCTTGCTGCTCCGCGTACCCTCCGCCCATCCCCGCGCCCTCTTCCCCGTACTCCGCGTACTCCCCGTACTCCGCTCCGCCTTGGGGGTGCGGATGACCAGGGCCGCCGTCCTCCGGCAAATAATCCTCATACGCGCCGTCCTCTTCCCCGTAATCACCTTCCTCGGCGTAATCTCCGTGACCGCCTTGGCCGCCATGGCCGACAATCCCGCCGCCTGTTGCGCCGTTGAACGCGGAGCCGCCGTCGGGGCCCCACTCCCCATTCCCGGCCATTCATGCAGCTTCTGGGGCCAACTTCCTCCTGGTTTAGGGTCCTAGTTCCGCTGCCGTAATGACACTACTCTGCAGCTCCAATGAAGAAGAAACCGCCTACGACTCTGGAAGCAAACGGGATTAAAAACGCGAGGGGAGGGTAGATGGGAAGCAGGCATGAGGGGGTGAAATGGACGACGTAATAACTGTGAAGACAACTGAAAAGGGAATACATTAGGTCGCTCACGAAAGTCTTTCGGTAGGACATGGCTAGTCAAGGCGTTGGTTGGCTTAGGAATTGAAACAATCGGCATGCCGCGCGAAGGAAACGCGGAAGCATGATTAGGGTGCGACTGCGATGAGGAAACGAACCCGCGGAGGTCGATCGTCTCTCGAATGCCGGAGAACGCCACACGCTAATCGCTCTGGATAACTGACGACGGCCATTTACGGCAACCACCGCCGCTCTCCCCCCAGCATTCCCCGGAACGATACTGATTTATTCCGTCAAAGCGACATGGCGAGGCGATTGCGGCTTGGGTGAGCTGTTGGAACGAAAGGAACGCGATCCAGTCGGTTCGCGACGCAAGTTAATGGACGCAACGGAAACACGCACTCTCTCGCTCGTCAAATTACCGAGGCGTCTTCTATAATTATCCGTAAGGGACGTGTGTGCGTCTTCTAAACAATGGTGCTGCTGTCACTAGTAGTGACTGGGATAGAGCACCAGTTAGTTGCTCGTCCCTTGGTGTTCTCCTTTTTTTGTGTGGTAAAAACTTGCAAGCCTTGGGCTTGCCGAGAAAGCTACAGTTGGGTAGGTGTCACCGAGCTAACAAGGTTTGACGCTCGGTGTCGGTACAATCCACAGCGGTTCAGATGTTACGAAACCTAGGGGATTGATTCTTGGGAATGGCCCTTGCTTTGTCTGGAAGCCAAACTTGGTCCCTCTGTGCGAACAAACATCGCTGTCGTACGCCCTGCCGTACGTCGCAAGCGTTCGGGTTCTGGTCATCGCTATGTCACATGCCTCATATCACATTTCGTCGCGAGTGTATTGGCCGAATCGGCGAGCCGACGAAAGCGGAGTTTACAAAAGTGGCAACCGCCAAAAGCGGGGATATGGCATGAAAACCAGCCGATCAGGGTGAAACGACGTTGACGAAACGACGTCCTTTCTACTGTGTAACCATATGCGACAGAGGTTTGGGCTGGGAGGTGGTTGGGCGAGTCATGGAAACCTGAAAGTCTAGGTTTGGTCGCACCAAGCCTGCAGAGGCTTCAGCCACAGCGACACGCACGCAGCTTTGATTCTATTCGTCAGCAGCGAGGCTTGGCTGCACGAAAATGACATGTGCCAGTATGAAACAAGGGTCACCAGAGAGCAGGCAATACATACAAAACTAACAATACATGCCACTTTATTATGCTAGTCCATACAAGCCAAATTTTCAATGGACATCCGATCAATCTCATATCAGAATTTCCTTTATCATACTTCCCAATATTTCGAAGGGACAGTTTCCACCTAACCCATACTTGCTCTGCAATATTATTCCCCTCTTTTCTATCCCCCATCCCTCTTCACGGGCATCTTCCTGTAAACTAAACGCATATACATTGTATGTATGCAATCAGGTGTAACATGTACTGTTTAGGTGCTCGTTGATGAAGGAAGATGTAGAAATGAGGAGCCAGAGAATTCAGAGCACTTACTCACCTAACTTATACCACTTTATATAAAAGGTGTACATATCCAAGGTCCAAGATTAACCGAGCTCCTGACTCCCGCCTGCTGACCAAGGGCGGCCCTAGTCCTCGGATGAATGGGCCACGTCGGGAGATGGTTGGCGTTGGCAGGTGGAGGATATGACAGCTCGGAGTCGGGGCGGGTGACCTGTCCACTGCATTGCTCGGGTTGATGGGTGCATTTCTCAATGGCGGTGGGTCTTGTATTGTGCACTTTACTGTTACAGCGAAAATTTCCCGTCACACTCACCCTCTCACGGTGTCTGATCATCTGCTCTTTGGGTGGTGATCAGCGCGGGCAGCACAGCACATGCTGCATGCCGACGCAGTCAAGCCTAGATTGGTGGAGTGAAGTGGAGTGGTGCCTCTGGCATCGCGCAAGCGCTTTCCCCCAACCCATTCAACCCCCTCTTTCCCAAACCCCTTGCTTGAACAACTCCTCTCCACCGCTAGCCAAGCCACTCCACCCCGCGCACCTATCCCGTCCCGTCCCGTCCCGTCCCGAGGGTTGATGATGATGAACCAAATCGTGCTTCTCCGCACCTTCACGCGGCAAATCAAATTATTGCGCTTGCTCCAATGCAGTGCTATCCCATCTGGCATGTTTGGATTCTGTTCAGCTGTCACTTCGGGCTCAGGCTTCAAATCAAATCAGAGCATACATTTTCCTTTTCCTAAATTCTACACATTGTTTTACCTCTCAAAGAATTGTGACCATTGCTGAGTGTTTGCCGAGAAAGCTGGTACTGTAGTCAGTGGGGTCCTCTATTCCTCCCTCCCCTCTTAGACGAAAAAATACATAGTTTTATACTTGATGTGCGCTGTCGGTACGGGCAGCTTCACTGGAGGAGGATCTAGTAACTAGCATGCAATCCATAAGCTGTGACTGCTGCCAATGAAGAGCTACTACGTGTGTACTAATTATAGATATACTGTACATATGCAGGTCCGGAGGATGCTCCATCGACTCTGTTACGTGTAGATTCCAGTCCTACTCTTTCGTCGTTCCATTCCCAGCACCCGTCCATCCATCGTCCGTTCTCGTCGCTCCGACCCCGCGCCTCTTAGACTCCTAAGTTCTCATATGCTGCTCCCTCGTAAAAGGTTTCCCAGCGTTTGTGAATTAACTGTTCCTGCTTATCTCCTCTTTAGCCAGCCAGCAAGACAGCAAAACACGCCGTTTCACGCCTCGTCCTCTCCAGGCCGCTCTCCTTTCACCCGCGTCGCCCCTTCCCTCTAAGCCGGCATGTCGTCCATTCTCGAGCAGCACAACGTGCGGCTAATCGGCTCCGGCGCGCAACTCGTAGTCCTCGGCCATGGCTTCGGCACGGACCAATCCGTATGGCAGCACATCGTGCCGCATCTCCTAGACGACTACCGCCTGCTTCTCTTCGACCTCATGGGCGCGGGTTCCACGAACCCGGATAACTTCTCCTTCGCCCGTTACTCCACGCTCCACGCGTATGCGGACGACCTTCTAGCGATTCTCGACGAATTAGACGTGCAGGAGTGCTGCTACGTGGGGCACAGCGTGTCCGGGATGATCGGGTGTATCGCCGCGATTGAACGGCCTGATGTGTTTAAGAAGCTCGTGCTCCTCGGCGCGTCGCCTAGGTAAGGCGGAGCGCGTCCGCAGCTCGTGGCTCGTTACTATTGAATCCTGTCCCGTCTTATCATATCCTCTCCTTTCCTAATCTATCCTGTCAGTTCTGTTACCCGTGGGTCGTATCCTAGCCCGTGGGCTCCCCCGGTCATCGGGCTGCGGATGCTCAATCCTAGCCCGTGATTCCCGCTGGTCGCGTCTACTGACAGGGAGAATTGAACAGCCGTCGAGAGCTTATCATAGCGTTTGAGTCGACGCGAAAGCCACCTCGTTGAGAGCCCATACCGCGAAAAACGACCTTTGGGCGAGACATCTGATGTTCGATTTAGTTTTTCGTGTTAATATCAAGGCGATAGTTTTTAGTCCCGTCAGGGCTGAGCAGTACGAGCATTGGCTGTTACAGCTACAGTCGTACGATCAATAGTGCTAACCTGTTAATTTTTGGCCGCGAAATTCCCCAAAAACCGTGGCAGTGGTGGTGCGGCCTGCTAAACCACAAGAGCCCAGTTCCAGCTGCATTAGGAGGCCCGTATCCCGCCGGTAATTGCTACGATTCTTCGCGAACGCTTTGGGTGTTCTCGAGCAGTCCCCAACCTTGCGCGCCCTCCCTCAATTGCGCCTTCCGCTCTCACGCTTCCGCCCTGTACGACTGGGATGACGTCGGGCCCTATGAGTCGACTCATGAGTCACGCTGTTCACTTTCCCCCTTCCCCCCCCCCCCTCACCCACCCCCCCCCTCCCTTTTTTCCCCTTCCCCTTTCTCCTTTCCCCCCCTCCCCCCCGCACCCCCCTCCCCGCAGGTATCTGAACGACGGCGACTATTTCGGCGGGTTCGAGCAGGAGGATCTGAACCAGCTGTTCCTGGCCATGCAGAGCAACTTCCGCGCGTGGGTGTCGGGCTTCGCGCCGCTCGCGGTGGGGTCGGACATCGACGCGCCCGCCGTGCAGGAGTTCAGCCGCACCTTCTTCTGCATCCGCCCCGACATCGCGCTCTCCGTCGCGAAAACCATCTTCCAGTCCGACATGCGCGCTATCCTTCCGCAGGTGAGGGGACGGGGGGGAGAGGCGGGGCGGGGCGGGGCGGGGCGGGGCGGGGCGAGGCGGGGAGGCGACTGGCAAGGCAATGGGCGATGTAGTGAAAGCGGTTCCGGTGGTTGGGGGACGGGAAGTCGCCTCTTGAGACGTCTCAAAACGAAGCTTGCTCCGCTGCCCCCAGCATCTGCTTCTTTGCCCCATCACCCTCGCCATCCTCCTTTCCTTATCCTCTTTCCTCCGTCTTCCATCCCTCCCGTCCCTCCCCTCCCCCCCCTCCCCCCCCAGGTGCGGGTGCCGTGCCACATCCTGCAGTCCAGCAAGGACCTAGCCGTCCCCGTAATGGTATCAGAGTACTTGCACCTGCACCTGGGCGGCAAGAGCGTCGTCGAGATCTTCCCCACACACGGCCACCTGCCACAGCTCTCCACCCCCGAGATTGTCATTCCGGCGCTTAAACGGCACTTAAGAGGGAACCTCTAGTGTGGCTTTATAAAGGAGAGAGGAGAGGGGAAGGGAGGGGGGGAGGGGGGGGGGGACTTTGGGTGGGAAGGGGGCACACTGATCAATGACGGAGAAACGAGGAGATACGATAGCCAAAGTTGTGCTTCTTCCCTGCCTCTTCTCGGCTCCTGCTTGC